GGCGGGAAGTAGGAATAAGAGATCCTCCGGAAAAGGGCTTTTTTCTGGAGGATCGGGCCGGATCGGGGCCAGTGTAGACGCTCTTTTCCGGCTTTTCTAAAAGCCGGAAAAAAGCGGCAGACATTTTTATTTAAATGCCGCGGGGGATATTTAAATCCCCTGCGGATTTCCCTATTACGATCTGAAAAATTAGCATGCCCCTTCCGGAAAAGGGGCCAATGTAGACGTAGCCTATGTGTCTATCGTTTAGATTGCAGAAGGATCGGGGCCAGTGTAGACGCTCTTTTCCGGCTTTTCTAAAAGCCGGAAAAAAGCGGCAGACATTTTTATTTAAATGCCGCGGGGGATATTTAAATCCCCTGCGGATTTCCCTATTACGATCTGAAAAATTAGCATGCCCCTTCCGGAAAAGGGGCCAATGTAGACGTAGCCTATGTGTCTATCGTTTAGATTGCAGAAAAACACTTCAAGAAAAAATATCTTTTTTACGTATGGTACAGCATTGATAAAATTAGCACTAAGCAAAAGAGATGAGATTAGACAGTGAAAATGAGCTAGTCTGTTTTACAGATGTAGATAAGTAGTTTCTAGTCATTAGTCCTTAAGTGCTAGTAAGAGTTACAGAGATTTGTTTACATTTATTTGTTATTGTTTGTTTATTTTAAAAGCGCTGTTTCTAATTCACTTTAGTTTCATGGAAACATTTCTATTGGTCTTACTCTTTCAAACAGAACTAATTACTTCAGATTTGTAAATTTCACAGCAACCCTGTAGCCATCCTTTTCTCCTCCAGATTTATATTTGTTATTTAAAAATTCCTGCCCCCGGTAATTTTCACTTACTTTCAGAGGTGAAAGTTACTTAAATGTATTAAGGTACCGTTATATTGCAACACTTCCCCCCTGCCACACACAGGGAGCTCAAGGCAGGGGGATGGGAGTGTATGATACAACAGTACTTGTAATAAATTGAAGCATGGGCTGGAATGTGGGGTGTGTGTGTGTAGGAGCAGATGATGATTTTGCGAGGCCCATGGCAGCACAATTTCTCAGGGCCCCCCCTTTGATACAGCGCATGCGCGGGGCTTCTTGAAGCGCGGGGCCCGGGGCAGCCGCCTCGCTCGCCCTGCCCTATATCCGCCCCTGTGTAGGTGTGTGCAGGAGTTAAGGCAGGAGATTGGGAGTTTGGGGGGCTAATGGCAGGGGCTGTGTGGGTGCAAGAGTCAGGGTTAGGGTGTAAGGAGTGGCTCAGGTCAAGAGGTAGGGGTGAGGGAGGTGCAGGAGTCAGGGTTGGGGTTGAGGACTGACTCAGGGCAGAGGGTTGGGGTGTGGAGGAGCGAGGGCTGAGGCCATGAGGCAATACGCTTTTGACTATGGAATGAACCCATTGTGGATTCAATTGTTCATCAAATAATTATAATTATATTGTACCTGTTGTGATGAAGTGGGAATGTTCTTAATGTTTTCTCTGATGGACACATGACCAGAAGTAAAGTCCTCTCTCTCAGGACTTTTCCCACCATCCTCCTACCAATAGGGATTAGTTTGGCTCCCACCAAACCCTCCTCGTGCAACTATCCTGCAATTGCATTAACCCACTGTGTGTGACATTAACTCAGGGACGGAGAGGCTGGGGGAAGTGTTCCTTCTAAGAGTTTCCTCCCATGAGCAGAATGAATTTTGTGTTGTGCACCAGTACTGAGTTCATGTGGCTTGTTTGGATGTGCCACTGTGGCACCCAAGTTATTAATAAATATCTTATAAACCTCTACCCTTTCCCACTGCTGCCATGTCTCCTCCCTTTGCTCCATCAGCTCCCCTGGTGCCTGCTGCCCCCCAACCCTTCACCGTCCTCTGTTGTCCTGACTTGGACTCCTGCCCTCCTCACTGGCCTCAGCCCTCCTGAGACCTGCCCCCCTTCACCAGCCCTTCTCTCGCCCCTGTGCCCACTCCTCCAGTAGCCCCACTCTGATCATGTGAGCTACCCTTCCTCATCCCCTCTCCTAAAAATTTCCTCTACACACTTGTCCTGCCTCTCTCCTCTGGTGCTGGTCCCTCCCCTGCAGGTGTCTGCCCTTCTGCTTCACCCCCAGAATCCGCTGGCACCTGCACCTTCCTTCACCCCTGCACCCTCCTGGTGCCTCCCCCTTCCCTCACTGCCCCTGCCCCCTTTGCTCTCTTTTTTGCTGATGCTCACCCCCTCACCACCCTCTGCCCCCCGTTCCTCTCATGCCCCTGTGCCCTCACACATGACTTGCTCCATCCCGGCCTTCCTCATGTCCACCCCTTCTTTCAAGCCTTCTCCCAGCATCTCCCTCTCCCCCCTCTAGCCCCCAATGCCCTTACCCTCTTCTTTCCCAGAATCATGCTTTCTCACCTTCCATTGACACCTGCCCTCCTGCCCTTTTCCTCAGTCTCCACTTGGCCGCCTGGCATTTGTCTCTCTTCCACGCTGTCCCTTGGTGCCTTCCACTTTCCTCTCCTGATCTGCCCCCCTCCCCTCAGCACAAGCCCCTTCCTCTACCACACCTTCCCCTATTTTCCCCCCTCCACACCCCACTCCTTCCCTCCCCACCTTCTTCCTTCCAGTTTGTAGTGCTGGAGTCTGTGATCAGGCCTCAGCTGCTTCTGAGGCTCCAGACTACTTGCCGGGCCTGGAGCTGGGCCGCACAGTTTTAAAGT